CGATAAGGACACCACATGATCCTAATATCTAATAAAAGTGATAAGCCAAAGAGGCTAACCTTGACTATAAAAAAAAAAAATTTAACTTTAATATAGTTACACTTTTTATAATTACCAAATATTTGTTTTCCAACCTGGTGATTATATCAAATATTATCTATTTTAGCAATTTGATTGGCTAATTTAGATTGTACTGTGTATACAAAATTAACTATTATTTAGTTAAGATTTTCTATATTATTATATATATATTTTATTTAATTACAATACATCTTCTTAAATCTAATATATAATAAACAGCTTTTGAATTGGTTTTGAGATTTAAAATATCAATAGCTTATTGGTTATATGATTATAAATAAATATAATTGGCTAAATTATGTTTATTATATATTTGCTCAATTGGATCCCGATCTAACCAATCAAATTGATTTATATTGTCTAACAAACCCGATATCTTATATTTTATAGATATCTGATTTTTTGAGTACCGTTTATCAAAAATAGCAGGTTATCGGGTTTGAATTATGAAACAAACATGGTGGATCAATTTTTTAATCGGTTATACTGTAGTAGGTTATCAGTTTTGACAGAATCGGTTTTGAAATAGTATACTGTAATATATATATATACTGCGGATAATAAAAAAATAGAAAATACGTATATACGTATTATATATTTAGACAATATATAATTTATATAGAGTATAAAAAACAATCACTAGTTTAAATAGAATTAGGTATAATTAAAATTTAATTTAAACTATATACTGTAATTAATTTCAAACCTATACAGTAATTGTATTAGAAATACAAGTATCAAAAAACATCATTATCAATAGTTATGGCTTGTTTGCTACATTTACTTTTTAAATAATAATAGTTTTATTATAATTGTTTTACATAATAATGTTTTTTTAATTACGTAAGTAGTTAAATAAAGTTTTGGAATGATCAACAAAAAAAATGTGAATATATTCTTTTTTCAAGGGACGAAATTCACGACAGATTTTTTTTTGTTTTTACTATAAAAGGTAATGGATAATTTTATTGGACTCAAATTTTGGGCCAATCCAATTAACCAAAAATGATGAGTTTGGCTTATGTACATACGTTATATAAATGTGCGATCAGCACAAACTATCATTTGTCGGACGATTCTGCCTAATACAGTAAGAAATTAAGCCCCGCGTCAGGGACTTTGGTGCGTAATCCGGTAAAGCACAAACATTTTATTATATTAAAATTCTATCCCTGGGCAAAAAAAAAACCTAGTTGCTTTGTGTTACAAGCATTTACAATAGCATAGTGAGTATATATTCAGAACTTTCAGGTGATCGAGAATGACAATTTTAGCGAGATGGAATTCATTGATTACCTTGTGGCAAAGTTTATTTATAGAATTCCTTATCATTATATTCACGTGAGTCTTAGATTGATGATAAGATCACATGACATGCACAAACCAATGCCAAAGCTAAAAGTAGATTCATCAAAAATTTCACATTCTTTACCTGATTACTGGGCTCAGTTATTGAAATAAGATAAATTTGACGTAACATTTGGTAATATTATCACATGATCAGATATTGTAGTGTGTAATATCGATATATAGTGATTGATGCTCGAGGACAATAGATATGACGATCATCACAGATCTACTTTTCATGATAGCATTTAGGTTTCGCAGAATAGGTCTTTGCGTGAGTACGTACGGTACGCATGTTACGCACATAATACAGTAATACTGTAATAGATGCTAATCTAATATTTCTAATCTCTTTCACGATGAAATAAAGATTGTGCGTTCGTAATGTATACGATATTAGTTACATGTTAGCATTTATACACATGCTTCTAAATAAAGGCTACTATAAAATAATATACATATTACGATAATGATCGTGGAGCGAGATTGAATTTGTAATTCCGAATTTGGATTTTTTTTTATTTTATTTTATTTTATTTTATTTTTTTTTGTAATCTATTTAAGGCGGCAAGAATTAATTATGTATATGATATGCATTTACGATAAAAAAGTAGAGGTATTTCACTATATTCAGGATGGATTGAAGGCAAAAGCATAAGCCATTCCAGAAATTCTTGTCTCGGGCTTTAAACTTTTTGCAGTCCGCACGCTATCACGATCAGAAGCTGAAAGTGACGGATAATAGATAAGTTCAATGGTCGGAATCAGGAGGAGATTGAATGAAAATCAGGGGAAGAAAATTAGACGTAAGTCTTTTCTGGAATAGGAAAATGAGGGGACACGGTGTAGGATGAGGTGAATAAATGACTTTTTGTGATATCATTAAGAATAATATAAATAATTTATACGACATAAAACCTTGTTTGCCTCATTTATATCATTTGACCACCTTCGCCAAAAGGGTCATATTAGTGTCATATTATAAAGTAAGCAGAAGCCGTGGGAGTGTGAACATGAATTAACAATAAAAAAGAGTGACATGAGATTATTGTAACAAAGCATGTGAAAATTTACTTTCGTGTTTGTAGTTCAGTTTTCTCCTGTTTTTATAAATTCTCTGGAAAACTGGTCAATTCACTATTGTTTTTTTTTCCCCCTACATAAATTACATAAATACATAAATTCCCTACATAAATAAAACAAAAAAATAAAAAATTTAATTTACTATAAAATTTATAAAACTTTTTGAGTTTCGTCTTTAAATTATTTGAACGAAAAAAAAAACGATGGACCAAAAGAGAGCTGGAGATATTTTAACAGGTACGTTTTATATAAGTTCTCGATTGATGAATTATTTGTTATTGTTATGTCGCAATTTATTCAATTAGGTTACTTTTTACAGAAATCATTGAAGACCTCTTCTCTTATGATGAAGACCGTTATAAACATGTTCTTGAAACCTACTTTGTTGAGAATGCCAAGTTATCTCATCCTCTTTTGAATGTTGAAGGAACACACAATATTCGAAAAGTTTTTCGAGTGTGGACTTCTTTAAATTGCATTCCACCAGAAGTTGCCGATGTTCCAGTCTTCGAGTTAGTATTATTTACTATTAACTGCGGATTAGTATTATTTCGAGGATTTAAATTTTTATAATCTATTCTTTTCATTTAATAAAAAAATTAGTGGTCAAACTGCTGTAATTCGATTAACGCAACATTTAAGTCCTAGAGTTTTTCCTTTCGTTGATTTCAAGATTCCTTCAGTTACAATCTTAAAGTTCTGCAAGAAAGAAGATGGCTTATTTTACATTGAAAAGCAAGAAGACAATTGGACTCTCGAAGGGCTTATTCAAAGCGTTCCTTTAATTAATTGGTGGTATGATTGTGTGGTACGCGTTGTTGTAGGTGACCTTGTGGCCCGTGCTGGCTCTTTTCTTGCTACTGCAAATCAAGCAACTTCTCATTTGGCTGTCAAAGCTAACGAAATAAGAGATAATGGTCATTCAGCGATCGCTCAAGGTCAAAATACAGCAAAGGAATATTTAAATCCAATCCACACATATATTACTCATGGTTATTCGAAGGGTCAAGAATTCGTTGACCAAGCTAAAACCTCTGTCAAAAATAAGTTCTCTCAATTCGGCGGAACTCAAACCAACGGAAACATTCCGTCAACTGAGATGATGGCTGCACATTAATTTCTTTTATATTCATAATTATATATTTGTATATTTTACATTTGTGAAACTTTATGCTTCTTTCTTTCATTTCAATTTTGATCTTTAATTTTTTCTTTTTCATTTTCATCAAAATTCAAAAAAAAAAAGTATTCTTTTGACTCGCGTGATTACACCAAATGCTGCGTACTTCATTTTCACATGGAGTTTTACAATAACCGGAGTAAAAATTTTATTTTCCCGCGGATTTAATTTCTAAGGAGTTAATTGGTGCAAATTATTTTAAAACATTATTGGTGTACGACTGAATTTTTGCTATATTTGTAAGTTCAAATAGTTGGTTGTTCATTTTTCGTGTAACGTATATAGTGAATCAACACTAAAGAAAATAAAAATGCAATAAGGCCGATAATTTTTTTTTTTTTTTAATAATAATAAAGAAAAAACAAACGTGACACTTGTCAACATTAGAGTTATCGATTGTTAATATTCAGAAACATTTTCATATGCTAGTTTAAATTACTTCTGGTAGTGATTATGCTAGATATTATTACAATCCGTATTGATACGAGTCTAAATTCATTGCCTATTCCTAATCGAAGTTGATATCAAATCGAGATACGTACCAAAGAAACGCAAATAAATGATCATAGTTGTACAACAATTAATCTCGTGGAATCGATAAGAGTAATAAACACTTACACGTGCGAATGTCATTTAACGATGTAGAAGTTTTTTATAATAGGAATTAAAGTCTAGTTTAATGCCTGGTACAGTATAAAATTAGTAAAGTTTTGATGTAACGGTAAATATTGGAAACTATAATGCTTCCAACCCACTAACAATTCGCCACGCGATCTATCTTTGGATAGTGTGACACTAAAAATAAATTTCATATCTAGCTTTCTTGTGAAAGACATATTAATATAACCATAGCTCCCAATTAATACGTGAGCAGGGACATGGAATATTCATGCGACGTAAATTCTTAAGTTATTTTCGGTGTGATCAATTACGTTGATTTTTTGGCTATGCGTAAGATCTGGAACTTTATCTGGTAAAGATTTTTTTTTTTTTTTTTTGAAACAAAAAAAAGGTCGTACATTATGCGAGTTACAAGAAAGTGGTTTCATTTTTATTTTTAACATCTTTCAGATCATCTTAAAATTAAGTGACACGGTATACCAATACAAATAAGGGATCACGCTAGTTCAAAAATTTCCGTGTCTTTGTGCAACATGAGGAGAAATAGCGTCAATAAGAAACTAGAAACCATAGCGATAGTAAAAGTATCCACAAAATTCAAAGTAACCTTTCGTTAGACTACAAAGCGTCTTAGCTGTCAATATTTATGGTTTTTATAACACACGTTATTTTGATTTTCTTGAGAATAGTTATAATCAACATACCAGATATTTATTAGAAAATGTACATTCTGATTATTGGAATAAATACGCGTAGTGTGAAAGTCATGTAATAAAGATATATAGAAACTTATTTAAAGAATATAAAATACAATGCCGAGTTTTACTAGCAGAACAGCTGGTTACTTATAGCCTTTTTATTGCTCGTATGATACAAAAAATTTGAAGTTACTAGTAATATATTACAAAAATTATTGTACAAGAAATTATTGACTTAAATATTTTTAAAATAATTTTTGCCACATCCAATACCCAATTGTTTTGGTTATGTCGGCGATAAATTGCAATTCTAATCCTTCAAAATTTGGTTTGTTTTCCTTACAAACAGCATTTACTACTAACTTACCATCATTATTTCCTATTTCAGTCTCTTTTTCATCTTGTCGCGGTAAAATGAAATGTATTAATAAATCATGGTTACGTTGATTAAATATTATTAAATGCCTAATATGTTCAGTATCATCATATAACTCTCTTGTCAATTCAGAATAATATGTTGATAAAAAATTTAATACTTCTACCCAATTTAATTTCAAATCTAAAATGTCTTTGAAATCTGGACTTATTGTAACAAGTTCTCGACTGTACCATTGCTTTGTTAGATCAAGGAAATCTGTAATGGAAAGCGACGCGGAATAATTGGTACTATTGTTAGCATTGTTTCTGTCACTTGGCTTTATATTGCTTAATTTTTTCCACAAATCTTCTCGTCGCTTAAATTGTACTGCCTATAATTAAGTATTAAATTTCTAAGTATAAAAAAATTGATGAAAAATACAAATACAAAATAACATGCTCTTACCTGATTTATAACCAACTTAAATCTTTCACGAGTACGGTTTATTAGGGCATATTTCTTTTCTTCGATATCTTTGTTTGAATAAATATCTGACGCTTGATATTTATAACCGCGATAGGAATCCCTAACACTTAAAGTAGAATCAAGGGGCACATAATGATCGTTCACCACGATTACAAAATATTCCAATGATGTAATTCCTGCCGTAGGTGCCTGGTTGGAAGAAGTAAAAACTAACGTGATTTGTGGTGTCTCATTTCCTAAAATTGAACATAGATCACAAGATTCTGAGCATTGGTCTCCACATATAGACGTCGTAAAACAAGCGATTGGTTCACCATTAAAATTTATTTGTCTAAACCCGTATCGTTGGGGTGCTGATATTATAAATTTATATAAATCATCAGGTATCGATCCTAATTCTTTATCATAACTATCGTGATAAATACGATTACGTGAAAAATGCGCAGGTTGGCGATTACGGCGAATGAATGCATTAATAACATCCAAAACATTAAAGGCTGGGGAGGTTTGTGATTGAGATTCCAATACATGTTTTATATAACGTAGATGGAAGTCATAAACAAATGAATTAACATGAATCATTTTTCTGAATCGTCCACATTCCTCAGTAAATATCCTCAGGTTTCCACGGTCGCTATCAACGTCAGAAAATCCTAGTGACATTAGATTCTGTCCTTGATTGAGTATATATAGGGTCACGCTTACAAATACACCTTGAATTCGAACTTCACACATGATAGAACCTCCTTGAAGCACTTTTAGCAAGAATACAGCAGGAGAATTGGCAAGCACATTTTCTGTAGCAGATGACTTTGATATCCCATCGTCAACCAAATTTACGCCAGATTTGCCTCCAATTACTACTTGCATGCCAATTTCTTCAAGGTAAGAAGAGTATTCTTGTAAGAATGTTTCGGACATGTCTTGATACCAACGAGAAAATGTTGTATCACTTGAAGTTTGGAAATCACGAGTAGGTGATGTACGCGTAAATGAATCTGCATTACCGCCAAAAAGTAATGGCGTTCTACAGAAATGTAAAAGTCGAGATGTACGAAATATAATCGCCAAATCCGACTTCTTGATCATTTCTGGTGTGTTAGCAGTATTGTCAACGTTATGCTCTTCAATTCTCTTTGCCCATTTACTATGTACAGATTTTTCGTTTTCATGAGCTTGAGAGTTCTTCGCCTGACGGATCCACGCATCGATAAAAGGAGGTCCATGTCGTTTCAGAGCATCACGGTTCTCCCGTGTGTGAACTTTCTCAGCAAATGAATCGATACAAGAATTTTTGAGCACTTCATTCAAATCAAGCGTATTCAATGAAAACACGCCAGCATTGAATTCTGCAATATTTAAAATGTTTATATCATGTTTTGAATCTGAATTCTTTTTTATGTCTTCAGCGCGACTCTCGGTTTTTTGAAGATGAGGAAATCTTTCATTTATAAGAGAAACAACAAGTGGCAAATCATTAGTGTTTTGTCCAATAGACATTAATGCTCGTTGACTATGTGAAGAATCAATTTGTGAGGTTCGTTGACTGGAAATAGGAGACTGCAAGGATCGTGGTGTATTTGGCATGCTTGGAAGAGGCACTGGGGATTTAAGCGATATACAACCATGATAAAATAAGCCCATTTTTTGATAAAGTATGCTATTTAAAAGTCCGATACGTTGATTATGCCAGTCTGAAATCTTTTTCATCGCAGAAAATACCAGATCTGTATAATGTTTGTGCCAATTATAAGTATAAATCGTCAAATCGAAGCCGTCAATTGACATGGCTAAGAAACAAGAACGATATAAAATGAGAGCCTGTGGGTTTGATTGGACTTCATAATGTGGTATGGTATACATCATTATATCTAGGAGACGAGTTTGTTGCGTCATTAAAGAACTTTTTCGTGAGTGAGGGGGATTAGACTTTTCATTGGAGAGATCTTCAACAGAACTTCTACGTGAATGTGTACTATCACTCCCTAAACTGCTTCGACGATCTTCTTGAGACAGTGATCTATATACACCATATTTTTTATTTAACTCTTTAAGACCAGCAATTAGTAAATATTGAGGTCTAACTGTCATAGCTTGTTCTGTTGCTGATACTGAATGATTTGGACGATATATTTCATAAATATTATCATTATTAATGATAGAAGGCGTAGGAGATGGGATGGCTCGTAAAATAACAGGAGTAAATACGACATGAATATCCGATAAAAGCTCTCGAACTTCTGCTAAGAAATCATCCATCATCCATGACGGCATATCAAGTCGTACTTGTAATGAATGTAACGCTGGATTTTCTAAATTGACTGATTTTCTTAAAAGTGCCATACAAGGCTCTATAAATACTTTTTGGACATGTGTATCAATGTATTGCGGAGAACATTCTCGATCCAAAGTATAATAATTTTCAGAAGATTGCGGAATATTGTATTCAACTTGATCTAAAATACGGCCTAACCCTTGAGTAATTGAAATTTCTATGAAATAATCGCATAGGCATTGTTTAAAACTTGTTCTGATTCGTTCGAATAGAATCTTATAATTAAGTTGACCTTGGTTCCATAGGTCGATATGCAAACTATATTCATAATTAGTACTTTCATCTTTTTTCAAATCTTCTGAGGTGATAATAACTTCTTCCTCTGAAATATAATCCAATATAGCCGCCATGTCCGTATCATTCATAACATATTTATCAGACATAGGCAACTCAAATACAGGCCTGCCATCTC